GGGAAACTCTACTAATGCCCCTTTTTGCTGCCTCACATTCTGCACTCTCCATTCAGTGAAGTGTTATACATTGCCCCATTTTTGCTAGGTCCAGGGAATGTCTACCATAATCTACTCTTTCATTTTAACCTTAAGCGCTTTCATGACTGAATTAGTTTATGCTTTGAATTTTTTTGTCGATATCATGTGTTTTCAGTAGTGAAAGGTATGTGAAATCAAGGGAAAACAATTTTGAGGTCCTATTGATTCTGATACAATTATGTGGGACACTTATGTCCCGAGTGGATTCTGGTGGTAACATCAGTGGGATGAAGTTCATTTCTCCAGATTCACACAGTTATACAGATTCTCGCTAGGTAGAAGCACAAATTACAACTGGGAGAACAGTCTCCCAAGAAACCTCAGAGGCTAAAAATGATGAAGGGTGATTTATGTCCTATGGGTCATAAAAGGGTTAGTTGTGGATTTATTATTAAAAACTTCCAATATACACAAAGGTAGAGGTAGAAATCCAGTGAACCCCCATGTACCCGTGACTTCATTTCAACAGTTATCAACTTATGGCTAATCATGATTAGCCTATATTGCTAATTCCAGTCACCACCACTGCATTATTGTAAAGCAAATCCCAGACATATGGTTTCATCTGTAAATAATTCAGTCCAATATTTGTCCCTAAGAGTAAGAGTTCTTTTAAAAATAGAACTGTTAATACCATGTAACACTTACATGTCATTAAATATCCAGTCCCTGTTCAAATTTCCCCAATTGTCTGATCAATGTCTTTTTAATTTATCTTTGAGTCAGGATATAAATAAGACCCACAGATTGTATTTGGTTCATATATCTCTGGAGTCTTTTAAAATCTGTATTAGCTCCCCTTTTTTTTTTTTTCTTTTCCTTGCATTTGTTGAAAAACTTTGGTCACTTGCCCTATAGCATTTTTCACATTCTGGATTTTTCTGATTGCATCTCACAGGTGTGTTTAACATGCTTTTCTACTCTCTGTATTTTCCACAAAGTCAGCAGTTCAAACCCGCCAGGCACTTTATGAGGCAAAGATGAAGCTGTCTGCTCCCATAAAGATGGATAGCTTCAGAAACTCTATCCAACAGTTCCACTTTGTCCTCTAAGGTTGCGAAGAGTTAGAACTGACGCTATGGCAGTGGGTAGTGGGTGGGATGTTAGACTGTCATCTGTGGTCCAGCAGCATCAACCTTAAAAGAAATGCTAAGTCTAAAACCTCACCTTGGACCTAGAGTCAAAGTATGCATTTTAACAATATCCCCAAGTAAACTGCATTCACATTAAAGATCAAGAAGCACAACCATCCTGCTGTAGTCCCCGCAACAATTGTCCTAAATATTTCCCATGATACTTAATTCCTGGCTCTTCTTATGGAAAACTTTGTCAGGATCTAATCAGGAAAAGAAAAACTACACCAGAGATTTCAAACAGAGGAAGTTTAATAAGTAGATTTTTTACACCAGTGACGGAAGAGCCAGGAAACCAGAGGTTGGTGAAATAATCCAGAAATTAAAAATATGGCAGGAGCTATGGACTTCTGGTGTGGCGCTGTAGGATCACCACTGGACTACAAGCCACAAAGTCAGCTGCTCAACCTCACCCACAGCTCCTCGAAAACCCTATACAGGATCACTATGGGTCAGAACCGACTCGACGGCACTTAACAGCAACAACAACATGGCCTCCTTTGGCTGCAGGGAGCAGGTTGGGAGGTGATGGGACTGGAATATGGAGACCAGGGTCACCTGGCAGGAGCTAGAGCTGCAGCAGGTCGGATGACAAGGAAATGGAACCTCAGAAAAGCAATCACTGCCGAAAGAGAAAGAAAATAGTCTTGTTTCTCCCATCTTCCCTCCCTCTACTCTTCACTCAGTGACCTCACATTAAACCCAATCACAAGCCAGCTGCCCAGAGACCCTGGAAAACCCAACCTGCCACCCCGAGAACAGCAAGGGGCACACAGATTACACACCTGAGAACAAACAAGTCAAACACCAGCACTGTGGCCTTCCCTTCTTCTCCTTCACCAACCAGCGCCTTTCAGAATGCAGTCTCATCCTCCTTTATGACCTCAAACTGTCTAGCTATTTTCTCTTCCTTCTGCCAAATCTCAAACAAGAAAATTTCATTTGGATTATCTAGATCACCAATTGGTATGAAATCTGAGTAAAACTTGTGAAAGCAGGAACCCATATAAGGTGGAAACCTGCCAGAAAAATACTTTCCACCAATTGAGAGTGATTGGAAAGGGGTAAGACTGTACCCTACCAAGGGTGGAAAATGCAAATATTTTCCACTAATAGAAAGCAATAGAAAAATGTTAAGACTGGACCCTGTCAACTGCAGAAACCTTGGGAAACCCATACAATTCAGACAGTCCGGTAGAGTTCTGGCTCTGGCAGGTTTAACTATGTAACTAAAATAGCTACAAACCACAGAGTTGAAAAGGTAGACTCTCCCAGCTCTATGCCTCTAGAATGTGACGGAACATTCTTTTGGAAACAAGTAGAGTGCTTCTGAAATCAGACTATATGAAGTGAAAAAATTGCCTGATGAAACCCTCATCATCCTCATGCTATGATAAAGGTGCAAATATTTTTCTTGTTTTTTGTGTGTGTGTCACAGTGGCATAGAATCACTTATTAACTGACTATGGTCAAGCCATTCTGTGAGACCAATCATTTACAAATACACTTAATATACTATGGTGGTTATGGTGGTGGTGTGCTGTGGAGTCGGTTCAGACTCATAGCGACCCTGTACAGGGTTTCTGAGGCTGTACATCTTTATGGGAGCAGAAAGCCTCATCTTCCTCCTGCGGAACAGCTGGTAGTTTCGAACTGCTGGTTTTGTGGTTCCCAGCCGGATTCGTAACCACTACATTACAAGAACAATCATTTTCCTTGAGTGACAGCTTTCTCATTGCTGTCTCACCCTTAAAGACAAGGAAGTGGAGGCCAATGATGTAAAAATCTGAAACCACTGCCTCCTTCACAGTCGAGTTGAAATGGGAACTAGAATAATCTCACCAGTGAGCTAATCCCTGTCATCCTTTGCTAAACAGATCTTCTGAACTTGGGAGGATTTGGCTGAAAGGAAATTGCACACTTCTTCAGAAAAAACATAGTAGAGCGTTCTGGCCATTCCAAAATTTAAAAGCAGGGTGGAAATAATCTCACAGAGACACACATAGAGACTTGATTGTACAGCGGGCCTTATAAAGGGACTTGGTGGTATCAGTCTAAGTCACTAATATGTCCCCACTGTGTCCAGGTTTGTGCCTGGCACATGAAAGAAGCCCAATATTTGCTTGAGCTTACCTGGTAGCACTGTGAGGTAGGCATTGGGATGCTAACCTCAAGGCTGGAGGTTCAAACCCACCAGCCATTCAATGGGAGGCATGGGATGCTAACCACCAGCCTGGAAGTTATATATATTTACAGTTTTGAAAACCCTATATAGGGTCACTATGAGTTGGAATAGACTTGACGGCAGTGGACTTTTAGTTACCATTTACTATCTGTGTCAATTTCAGCTTTTCCTGAAAGCTGAGTCTCAGTTCTTCCATCTGTCAAATGGGGATAAAATACCAGTCTCCATTTACTTCACAGTGTTTTTTTGCTAGGATCCGATAAGATCATGTAAGTAAAGGCAATCTATTATAGAGATCTTGGTTAAAAATGTTGTAATAAAAAAGAATCACACACTAATAATGCTTATATACACATTTATTAAGATAAAGACCAGTACATGGTTGAGGAACAAGAAATATGAAGGTGGTGGGATATTTCTAAATAGCCCAAATCAATGTCACGGTCCCCATAAAAGAGCCCCACTCAGATGACTCCTCAAAATCTACTGTTAATTTTTGCATGATTCTAAGATGTTCGGTTATTGAGGCTCCTTTGCAACACATAAGAAAGAAAAATGCCATAAGCAGGCACGCTATGAGCAGAAAGCGTACAGCAATGGAAACAACACGTCAGTCAGAGCCCTTACCATCATTAACCCGTAGGCCTGGAGGGCCCATGATAAGAACCACATAACAGAGTATTCTCTGTTCTCATCAATGCTGTCCCCCAAGTGTCCGGGATGGTCTATGTCCATCAGAGCATCACCATTCCTCAACCACAACTACTTAAAGAATGCACCTGTGAACTGTGATCTATTCAGACAATGCAATCCTACTTAGCAACAAAAAGGAATGAACCATTGCTAAGCAGACTAATCTCAGTAATATTATGTTATAAGGAAAAAATTCCAGATAGAAAAGAGTTCAGTGTATGATTCACTTTGCATGAAACACTAACGAAAAAATAAAATAAAATAAACTTAATAATGATAAAAGTCAGAAAGTAGTTCAATCTTAGAGACAAGGAGGAATAGAGAAAGGGAACATGTAGGAGTTTTCTGAGGTGACAGAGATAATCCCTCATTTGGGATATATGACTGTCAAAACTTATCAAAAGCAACACTTAAGAATTATGCATAGCATGATATATTAATTATACACCAATTAAAAATGATTTTTTTGTAAAGGCATAGCCCAGTAAAATGGGCTCCTCCTGTGAGTACAATATCCTTTTAGGGTGCAAAAATGCCCAAGGGCTGGATGAACTAGATGATCAAATCAAATGCTAGCTTTTTACAAACCTGGCCAAAATAGTACAACCCCAAACACTATGCTAACCTGCAACAACTCTGAGGGCATTTCACAGTCTAGCTTTTTACTGTTGTTGATATGTGCATTTTCATTTTAATATTCAGTTCAGGTCTACACACATGCAAAAGTTTTTAGCAGAGAGCAGAGCCACCAATGATCTGGCAATGTAATATAAAAAATACAGTAGCTTTTCACCCCTTATCAACAAATTAGAAACATGCTACTCTTTGTAGGGGCTTTAATAGCGCGTGCATATTAGCAATACTGAGGCCAAGTGGGCATAATGGGTTTCCAATGCACTATATTCACTTTACTCTGGATCCTTATCTTCATCTGAAAAGTGGGGAACTGACTTCTTTGCAACAACGTTGTCCAGTCTCTGCCCTTGCAGATAAGGATTGACACTCTGAAAGAAAAAATATATGGGTTGATATCACATGTTTCATCAGGTACAGATAGATACCCCACAAACGTAAGTGGAAGAGAATCGTTTGTGGTTTACAGCATTAACAAAAAAGTTAACGGGGTACCTACTGCCTGCTAAATGATGACGCCAGTATATTTACAAGAGTTTAGTGGTTTGAGAAACATTGTCTAACAAATAGATGTGTCTACACTAAAAGAGAGATTCTTTAATAGTTATCAGGGGTGGAAAGGAAGGGTAAGTCATTGACTAGAAGGGTAGACACACATTAACCTAGATGAAGGGGGAGGCAATATGCAGTAGGATAGAGGCTGACAGAAACATGCTGGAGGCAGGGGAAAACATGAGGAAGAGTGCAAGAGTTAAATATAGTAGAGGTAGGTCAACAATATACACAATCCTGCAATAATGATGGTAGATAGATGCACAGGTTGAACAGGTATGGGAGAGAGAGTGCAAGTATACCCACAAATAAAAACAACAGCAAAAAACAACAAATAGATATGCCTAATGTATTTGCCATGCAACTATAGGGTTCTTTGTTTATCAGATGAAGTCTTGGGTTTTGTTTGTCTGTTTGGGGTGCAATGATTTGAAGCAAACCAGTTGATAAAAATCAGTTCTTGCTATTAACTTAGATACTAAGCCTTTATGTGAAGGAACATTCCTATTCTATAGCCCTGCTTAGATGAGAGAGACAATCTGAAATTCATAAGTTATTTTATAAGAAGAATGTTTGAAAGAAGATGACAAGGAAGGGCCATGGGGGAATTAGCATCTCAAGGATCATCCTTGCTGCAATGGATTCTTGCATGCCAGTAGTTTGCTAAAGAGCATTCATCGGGGACACTAGCCGTCATTTTCATCTTCACTCAGTCAAATCCAAATGCTGAAAAAAAGAATTACTCTATCTGGAAGGCCCCTTTATATTTGTCTCAAGATGCCATACTCTGAAATCTTTTTCATTTGTCAGTATTCTGAGTGAGTCAAGGTTCTCCATTCCCTCTCTAATACATATCTATTTGAGGTTTGGATGTGAACTAGAAATTGGAACTTCACAACATAGTCTTTAGCAAGCAGAAAAAAATGTCAAAAGTTTTAGAAGATATTTGTATATTAAAAAATGACTTCCAACAACACAAACATAAGAAAGAAGCTATATTTACAAGTGATTAGCTCTCCAGTTGCATGTGAAGTTCCCATGAACAAATGGAGACAGTTCATTCGTGGATCTCCCTTGCTTAGAGCTGCCACGATTCTTTTGAAAAGTGCCACACGTTATCCAAATGAGAAGAAATGGAACCAGAGTTCAATATCTATAAATACCCTTCTGTGTTCTGAAAGCATAAATCATGACAGACTCAGCTCCCTCTGCAAAACTAAGTTACATCACAAACACATGGGGAATTAATTACAGAGTGTGAAATGTCCTCATATACCTGAAAGGTGGCACGTCACACAAAGACAGTATCTTGCTGGAAAGTAATCTTTATATGATTTAGGAAAACAAAAATACTCTTCTATTGGGGAGTGTCACCAAGACCAGCCTAGTTTACCCTGTGAAATGATCTTAGAATCTTTGGGTCAGTGTAGCAAGTGTGGATTGAAAAAGCATAATCATTACCATAAACATTTTAACTGATTTTTACTAATTGGTATTTACTCTGAAATTCCAACTATAATAAAAAAGGATCTGAGAGTTTTCACATTTACAAAACAGAGGATTAAAAGATTGGTAAATGTTGAATAAGATCAATTTTGTTGCTGTTGTTGGCTGTTGCCAGTTAGCCCATGACACATTCATTGTCACCCCAAGCACCAAGTATGGGGTCCTGCTCTGCATGCTGGGATAGCTGCAGATTTGACCATTGGGATCCATAGGGTGTTCACTGATCACCAGGACTTCGCTCCCAATCTGTCTTAGTCCAGAAGCTCCACTGAAATATGTCCTTCATCATGGTAACACACATGTCTCCACTGACAGACAAGCAGTGTTGTGCATGAGACACACTGGCTATGAATCGAATCCACAGGGAAGGAAAGATTCCATCACAGAGTCACCACTGTTCTCATAATATGATAAATGGTAGACCTTAAATGCTCACAAAATGCATCTCAAAAATTAAAAGTTTACAAAGTCATCTTAAAGATTTGTTGACCTGTAATTCATGAAGCAACAAGGAATTCAACTGAATTTGAACAAGTAAAGAAAGTCACATAAAACCTGGGGCTCTGTTGTAACTTTGGGGAGAATCTTCCTTGGTAAGGAGCCTTTCATGAGTGAATGCCTTTTCCCTTTTTCTGCCCAAAGACTTTCTAAAAGATTGGAGGAGATGGGAAGCACATTAGTGAGGAAGGAGCATTCATTTGAACCTTTTGGATAAATGTTTAGTTATTGATTTAGAATCCAATACTGAAGGATGACAATAATAATCATTGTTGTTGTTGATAAGTGCCGTCGAGTCAGTTCCAATTCACAGAGATCCTATATAGGGTTTCTGAGAAGCGGCTGGTGAGCTTGAACCGCTGACCTTGTGATTCAAACCGACCTTGCAATTCAACGCATTAACCTACAGTAACACACCAGGATACTTGGTTCTAATTATTCTCTGGATAACTCAAAGCATTTATATATTTATTTTCTCACTTGGATGAGGGACTGGTTAGGTTACACAGAGAAGATTTTCCCCAATTCACAACTGAAGAAATAAAAATACAGAGGCCTTGAATCAACTATCTATCCACAGTAGAGCCAAGCCCAGTCCTCAGGTACAGTGCAAAACACCGTGGATTTTCATTGGAATCGGATCTTCTGAAAACCTGCATAAGTGGCTGAGCTTTGTTGGAGGAAGTCTTAATTTAAAAAGAAAAAGAAGAAGACAGAAAGAAAATCTGCTATTTCTTTCTCTTGATTTGTGGACTTTAGTGGGGTGGTAAAGGGCTTCAATCAAGATGGCAACGTCATCTGAGGCCTAATACTGGAGCAGTAACGCTTTTTCTCCATCAGGTTTGAGAGGTTCATGGTTTACAGCAAGAGCAGGGGCCATTCTAGATGCTTGAATAGGAAGAACTTGATACCTCTGGGTCAAAGTGACCCTGATTTTCATAAATTCTAAACCCTTTCCTATGTGGAGGAAGTTGAGGCTAAATTAAAATCTTTTATAACATGTGTCTTTGCCAGAATTCTGAATTGGGGTAATCACTGGTCTCATAGAAAAATGACCTAAATTGTGACCTACAGTCAGTCACCGTGGCAGGACACACAGGATGGTGGGCCAGGAAGAAGAGACAATTAGAGCTTATTTGTTTCAGATCAGTCATTTGTCTTATTTGGAAATGTGCTTGTGATCCATGAAGAGATAGTCAGGGCGTCCTACTGGTAAATTATGTGTATTCTGAACTCCTAGAATAAAAGTTCTTGATGTTCTCTCAAGACCACATCACATCCTTTGGACCTTCCTGCCACTATTTGCCACTGGAAGCAGTAATCACCAACCCCCTCCCCCACAAAAAACCCAAAACCACCTTAATAGTCCCAGTAACTCTCCCAAAAAAGATTTGTTGCCAGACACCAAAACACTCTACTTCTCACTGAAAACTGGCTGTGCCTCATCTGGGTTTTGTCAGACAGCAAAGGAGCTTGGATTAACGCTGAGGCCAGAAAATCCACACCTCTTCAAATACTTTCTGACTGGATTAGGCAAAACTATTCAGAATGACCGCAGTGACCACTGTCCAGATTCCCAAATGTGGCCAGGATTCAGGCACTTGTTATACTGAATAAACCTATGTGGTTTCCTGTTTGTATGCTTTCACTAAAATGATTATTACCCATAACACTTTGCCATGTAATCATTGTTAACTGCTATCAAAATGGTGCTCCATGTACAAGAGTATCAAACCATTGCAATCCATAGGGTTTTTACTGACTGATTTTCAGAAGTAGACCACCAGGCTTTTCTTCCCAGTCTCTCTTAATCTGGAAGTGCTGCTCAAGCCTGTCCAGCATCATAGCAACATGCAAGCCTCTACTGACAGACAGTTGGTGGACATATATGAAGTATGTCTTCTATATCTGCCTGGAATTCAAGTTTGATTTCCCCTATGAAAAATGAAAATCTTACCACTGCTTTCTTGTTATGTAATCGTTGCCCCCCCCCCCCCAACAACACCCTTCTATTTGAACAGAAAAAGATGATGACAGGTGGCTAAGTCCTTCTGTCTGTCAAGTAGGGTACCAGCTGGATGGTAGAATGGGCACTGATCATTTGTTAAGTCTCAGTACCATGGAAGGCATTGGGAAACCAAAACAAATTCAACATTCAGCATTGCATGAGGCAACACCACAGGGGAGCTAAATGGAAAACTCCTTAGACTACAGTCCCACCCTGGGTCACTCAACATGCAGTAAATCCAACAGCTGGCAAACACGTATGATAGAATCTAGTAGATGTCATGTTATTCTGGTGATGTTAAGTGCCATCGAGTTGGTTCTGACCCAGAGTGACTCTGTATAGGGTTTCTGAGGAGTGGCTGGTGAGCTTGAACTGTCAACCTTGAGGTTCAAAGCAACTTTGCATTCCAATCCATTAACCCAAAGCACCACACCAGTACTTCAATCTGGTTAGACCAAGTAAAAAAGATCTCAAAAAGAAACCTTGGGAGGAAAGTGACTTGTTCACTTATCCTTTGCCCCCATGTCCTTCAAAATTCTTGCCCAGAGCATGCAATTTAACAGGTCTCTGTTCCTGCTTAATGTTTTCAAATAGCTGATACAGATGTACGAGCAGTTTCCCTCACTGGCCCTCATACACTTTGAGAGGAGGTATAATCTCATGAACTCCCCACATTTTCCTCACAGATGAGAGAGCTATAATATGTATTTTCTGAAAGGAATGGAGGTGATGGAATTATTACAGGACTTGTGGTCCCACTACAAATAATTTGCTAATCAAAGCTTGGGGAAACAGTAGCAGAAAACAAAGGATGGATTTTCTGGGTGTGGCTCGTTACACAGAGCCACCTTTCTGCATGTGAAAGGATACTGTTTATTTCCAACAATTGGGGGTTACAGCTTGTCAACAGTCCCCCTCAGGAAGCCCCAAGAACCCCCACAGCAACCCCAAAGTGGTCTCTCTGTTACCCTCCGCCTTCGTCTCTGTCCTCCCTTCATCTTCTCATAAAGGAGCTTCTTGTTCTAGAGTGGAGAGAAGAAAAAACACAAACGCAGAAGTATGGATCAAATTTGGTGAATGTCTATTTCAAAAGCAATACTTGGTTTCCCCGTGGATATTTGCATACACATATTTTGGAAACAAAACTAGATGAAAAGAATGTTGTGTCAGAAAGATAGACCACAAGAGAAAAGCTGGTGTTCAGGCAAGTTTTAATGAAGTCCTTTGCATTGCACACCAGTTGTCTGTCATTGGTAATCGTATAAACTGGAAACTACGACATGCTAAAACACAGGGGGCGCTGGAAACCCATCTCCTCACTTTGAACAGCTTTTGTTTAGAGCAAGCAATTTGATCTCGTTATATTTTTGTATCTCACTCCCTTTCTATAAACTGCACACACTGACTGTTCTCTAGAGGCATGGCTGACTATGAATAACAATCCTCTATGTAAATAAATGAGACGTTCTGACTTCAGCAACCATTTCTTCTGTGACTGAAGTCAGTGCCCCCAGTCAAGACAATCGGAAAACCATTTGGTCTATAACATTTTTAATAGAGTGAACCTTTTAAAAACTGCCAAAAATCTTCTTGGCAGAACGGAAAGTTATGTTGGGTGGGGGGGCAGGGGAAGAGCTCTGTTACCACAGTTTGTATAAGTGTTTCCACATATTGCTGTATTTCAAACACATAATGGACTTAAATGAGCTCTAGACTATCAGACACATGCTTAGCAGATTTCCTTTCTATTGAGATTGTAAAAGACAGAACACTTAACCTGAAGGCAGAAAGAGAGAAGAGAAACTGTGGGGCTTTAGCAATGTTGTTTTATTTATTTGTGTTTTTAATCGAAAGGGAAATACAGCATAAAAGAAGAAATTCATCGCACTTTAAATAAAATGCCCTGATATGGATTTTAAAGATGTAGAAAAAAAAAAAAAAAAAAAAAAAAAAAAAGAGAAAGAGAGAGAAAATGGACCAAAAGGAAATGGTTGATGTTCAACCATTGCAAGAGCGCGCACACGTCTGAACTTCAGTGACATTAATTCATCACGTCTGCCGTTTTCTGCAAAAAAAAAAAAAAAAAGGAGATGACAGAGTTCTGTTAAGGAACCAGTTTATATAATGCTGGTACCCTCTGAGCTTCTGAGCTGTCTGGTTTTAAAGACTTTTATTTTTTTAATGATAGATTTGGAGAGGAGAATGACAAATGCCAAGAATGAGCTTCATAATTTTCATGTTCATTAAAATCTACCCCACCCACAATTTACAATGTGTATCTCTTGCCCAACCTCAACTATGTAAGGAGACTGAGCCAGGGAGTGAAGGAGCCTCTGCTGCCAAAGACACCGCTTGTGCTGGCCACAGTCTCTACCTCCTGTTCACATGGGGAGCAGAGAGATGTTGTTGTTGTTGTTGTTGTTAAGTGCCATCGAGCCCGTTCTAACTCAAAACAACCCTGTATAAGGTTTCAGAGAAGCGGCTGGTAGACGTGAACCGCTGACCTTATGGTTAACAGTCCAGTGCTTATCCAGAACTCCAGGCTTGCATAATCGAAGGGAGGACAGGCAGATGTGCAGCCTATCGCCAGGAGGAATGAGGGTGATTGTGATGCTCATCTTTAGTTGTAGTTGCCTTTCTACAGAAGCTCGGAGAATGTGTTGGGGATTTGTGCCAAAGCTCGGTGCTGGGGGAGGGAGTGCATTAAGTACAGAAGTGTCTTCCTGTGTGCCATCATGTTCACTGCCTATCCGCTTGCCCATTGCCAACTAGTTGGTTCTGACATGTGGTGACCTTTCAGGATGGAGTAGAGCGGCCCCATAAGGTTTCCAAGGCTGTAATCTTTCTGGAAGCAGAAGGCTACTTCTCCCACAGTGGGTCCCAACCAAACCTTTGGATTAGCAGCCAGGCACAATACCACAGCACCACCATGGCTTCTTGTTCAGCTGCTGGGGATACACAAATGGGCTGGGGTAGGATTGTTGTTGTTGTTGTTAGGTGCCATCAAGTTGGTACCAAGCCATAGCGATCCTATGCACAATAGAATGAAACACTGCCCGGTCCTGGGCCAACCTGACAATCATTGCTACACGTGAGCCCATTGATGCTGCCACTTTGCCAATCCATCTCACTGGGGGTCTTCTTCTTTTCCTCTGACCCTCCACCTTACCAAACATGATATCCTTCTCCAGTGACTGGTCTCTCTTGACAGTATGTCAAAAGTATGAGAGACTAAGTCTGGCCATCCTGGCTTCCAAGGAGCTCTCTGGGTGTACATCACCCAACACAGATCTATTTGTTCTTTTGGCAGTCCATGGTACTTTCAATATTCTCCTCCAAAACCATGCCTCAAATGCATCAATTCTTCTGTGGTCTTCCTTATTCATGGTCCAACTTTTACATGCATATGAGGTTACTGAAAATACCATGGCTTGAATCAGGCGCACCTCTGTTCTCACACTGACATCTTTACTCTTCAACACTTTAAATTGGTCTCAAGCAGCAGATTTGCCTGATGCAATACGTCATTTGATTTCTGACTGCTGCTTCCATGATGTTGATGGCTGATCAGAGAAAAATTAAGTCTTTGACAACTGAAATCTTTTCTCCATTGATAAGAAAGAATGTTGTTTATTATCTGATCCCCTCTGTATAAATGGTTGATAGGGACGGGCAACTTATACATTGATTACCTAAAATGGGGGCTATTAAGGCACGAAGTGACTAGATTACACATTTTCAAGAGGGGATTTAGTTGCAGAGTGTGCAGGGGAAGGAAAAATCCGCACTGAATAGTTTTCATCTTGACTAGACAGGTCTGGTGAAAGGAGATGGGGATAAGACCCCTTATGATTCAATAGTGAGTAACTGTTATCATAACTAATTGCGACTGTCACAACTGTTAAAGGTAAAAGTTTTGTAACAAAAAGAGGGGAGTAGTTAATCTTACAATCCAGGAACAGAGGACCTTAGTACCATCAAGGGAGAAGAACATGAGCAGAATGTGGGACCCTATCCAGAGTAGCAGTGACACCAGAGATGGAGGCAGAGATGATGGCATGGAGAGATAGAGCAGCTGAAGACTCTAGCCTCATGGGAAGAGAGGGAATGAGTGCTGGTGGCCAGGAGGCAGGCTTACAGAATGTGACCTTTGGTTGTTTAAATGATTATATATTTCTGAGTGTTTTTGTGTACATCAAAAAAAAAAAAAAAAAAAAGCAAAAAACAGAGGAAACATTCAACAGAAGCAAATATGGTTGAATGACGATGCACAGAGGCGACTGTAATCATTGTAATGAAATGATGAGTGTAAAACATGTACTCCCATGTAAACTATCACTCAATTCACAATAAAAACATTTAAAAAAAGAATGTTGTTTATTGCTCCAGTGGTGAGGATTTTTGTTTTCTTTACATTAAGGTGCAACCCATACTGAAGGTTGTGGTCTTTGATTTTCATCAGTAAGTGTTCTGAGTCCTCTTCACTTTCAGCAAGCAAGGTTGTATCATCTGCATTTCACAGGTTGTTAATGAGTTTTCTTCCAATCCTGATGCCACGTTTTTCTTCATAGAACTCAGCTTCTTGGATTATTTTCTCCGCATACAGGTTAAATAAGTATGGTGAAAGAATACAACCCTGTCACACACCTTTCATAAGTTTAAAGTATTCGGTGTTTCCTTGTTCTGTTTGAACCACTGTCTCTTGGTCCATGTACAGGTTCCTCGTGAGCACAGTTAAGTGTTCTGGAATACTCAGACTTTGCAATGTTATCCATAGCTTGTCATTATCACACAATCTAAAACCTTTGCATAGTCAATAAAGCACAGGTAAACATCTTTCTGGTGTTCTCTGCTTTCAGCCAAGATCTATCGGACATCAGCAATGATATCTCTCATTGCACCTCTTGAACCTCTGGAAGTTCTCTGTCAATGTATGCTAGCAGCCATTTCTGTATTACCTTTAGTAAAACTTTACTCGCATGGGATATCAAAGATACTGTCCAATGATTTCTGCATTCCATTGGGTCACCTTTCTTTGGAATGGGCACAAATCTCTTCCGATTAGTTGGCCAGATAGTTGTCTTCCAAATTTCATGGCATAGATAAGTGAGTGCCTCCAGTGCTGCCTCACTTAGTTGAAAGATTTCAATTTATATTCCATCAGTTCCTGGTGCCTTGTTCTTTGCCAATTCCTTCAATGCACTTTGGACTTCTTCCTAAAGGATCACTGGCTGTTGATCATATGCTACCTCTTAAAATGGTTGAACATTTACCATTTCCTTTTGGTACAGTCCTTCCATCTTCTTTTGATGCTTTCTGCATTATTCAATAATTTGCCCAGAGAATCCTTCAATGATGCAAGTCAAGGCTTGATTTTTTTCCCCTTAGTTCCCTTAGATTGATAGGGTAGTATATTCTATTATTAGGTAGTAATATCTATTATTATCATCCTATCATTTGTATAATAAATAATATCCTTAAGAATTAGAGGAGGCTGGCTCTGGCTTGGACTGTAAGTGGTTTAGACTGATATCATGGTAGGAGTAAGGGCTGGGATGCTCAGAGTGTTATTCTGCCGCAAGCTGGAATGTTTAGGTACAGCCTTCTCTGTTTTTAACAGCAATAACAGTACGTTTTTGAATATCATTTTTGCAGCAGTGAGAGAGGGTCTTTGTCCTTCATTTCACCTCTGGTTCAGACTCTGGCCATGATCAACTGCATCAATTTAATTGTTGTTGTTAAGTGCCGTCAAGTCTGTTCCAACTCATACTGACCATGCATAGGATTTCCAAGGACGACTGGTGGTTTTGAACCACCAACCTTGTGGTTAGCAATCCACTGCTTATCCTACAGCACCACACCAAGACTCAGTTTAATTAAGACACAATACAAGCATGTCCTGGTGTGTCGCTGTGAGATCAAGCACTGGACCACAAGGTCAGTTTAAACCATAAGGTAGGAGGTTCAAACTCACCAGCGGCTCCTTGGAAACCCTATACAGGGTTGCTATGAGTTGGAACCGACTTGACAGCACTTAACAATAACAACAGCTGTGCAAAGATGTGAAACTTTGGAACAGGAAAAACATTTACTTTCTCAGACATCTGTTTTCCCAAGAGAATAATTGACAAGAAGGAGGGTATCCAACATAGACAACCTTTGGTTATAGCCATTCAATGTTGTGGGTATACCAGTCGTCCAAAAGACAATCAGTCCTAGATAGGACTCAATGGGACTAGCTCAGGACCATAGGAATAAGCCATGAAAAGACAAGAGATTTATTCAGTCTTTAAAAAGCACTGATGATGACTGGCCTGATCAAATCCCAGCTCTGCCAATCATCAAGTCTGAGTGTTGGGCAAGCTACTCAGCCACCTGAAGCCTATGTTGTCTCATCTATAAAATGTGAATGAAGAGGGGTTTGCAGTGAGATCAGGTAAGGTATTAAGTATGGTGCCTGGTACATAGTATGCACTCAATAAATATCAGTTACTATTATTATTCCAGGTGTGGTGCTGTAGGATAAGCACTGGACTGCATGGCTTATCTCAAGGCATGCAGTTCAACCCACCAATCCCTCCTCAGAAACCCTAGACAGGGTTGCTGTGAGTCAGAACCGACTTGATGGCACTAAACAACAATAGCATTATTATTCATAGGCTCCCTGATGATGTAGTGGTTAAGCACTCAGCTGCTAATTAAAAGGTTGGTGGTTTGAACCTACTAACCACTCCAAAGAAAGATATGGCAATATGCTTCCATAAACGTTTACAGCCTTGGAAACTCTATGGGGCAGTTATACTCAGTCCTATGGGGTCGCCATGATTTAGAATTGACTTGATAGCAATCCATTCGATTTTTATTAGTGTTCACCTTTGTAGTCCCAACATTTAGCCAGGCTCTGGTAGGCATATAATCTGAATGTATTAAATGTGCCTTGATATATTAACACAAAAGGAAAAAAATCAGGAAACAAGATACACTGGTATTTATAATCTGTGCATCCCTGCTAAAGACGCAGCTCAGACGAATGTCAAAAATAAGCATGCTTTGCGAATAAGGATCAGGACTTTGTACACAATTTGGTTATGAAAGATAATTAATTTGTTAATTATCCATCTTGCTTCAGCAAGCTTGACCCTATCAGTCTATATAAACACCAAGGCTTATGGTCCCTAGTTTAGAAAAGCAAGACATATTCAATTCACACTTTCATGTGAATATCAAGGAACTACTGCTTTAGTACTAGGCTGTAATGACACAATAAACTATGGAAACTGAAGTTTATGATTACAGATCATAAAATTAACGTAAACATTGTTTCTGTTCATTGATTTGTAATAGTATTTCCTTTTGCATAGAATTCTAAACTCTAGTCTTGAGCTCCGATGTAAACAATGAATGCAAATGACTGAAAGGAAAATCCATGTTTAGAGAAGGAAAGGATAAATGATAGAGACTGGGTTCTTACTGAAGGTCTACGAGTGTGTAGAACTCAGTGAAAGAAATCTGTAAAGGCTTTGAAAACGAGTTAAGGAAAACTGGAAAGAGACAATTTCCATAACTCTCCTACCTCCTCATATCAATACCACCAAGAGCATGCTCCAGCTCACTCAGACTTTTTTGCTTCATTTTGCTCATTTCCAACATGTTTAAACTCTAGTGGTAGCCTTGACAATGCAATCAGTCTTCCCTAACAGACCTGCTTAGAACAAGAGGAATGCATATTATCCATCAGTTACCATCAAGTCACTTCTGAGTCATGGCAACCCCATGTGTGTCAGAGTACAAGTGTGCTCCATAGGATTTACAATGGCTGACTTTTTGGGAAGAAGATCAACAGGCTTGTGAGCAGTAGTTTTCCAAGGTGCATTTGGGTGGACTACAAGCTCTAACCTTACAGTTAGCAGTCAAATGCATTATCCATTTGCACTATCCGTGGCCTCCCGTGCATTTTGTTGTTAGTGTTGTTGAGTCAGTTCTGATTCATAGCGAACCTGCATAGGGTTTCAAAGGAGTGGGCTGTTGAGTCTGAACCACTGGCTCTGTTGTTCAAACTGACCTTTTGGCTCAGTGTTTTATCCCACATGTTAGAGAAAATAAAACGAACTTAGGTGGCAGTATTGCTTTGTTGTTGAAGGCAGACTAAACTGACTGTGCCATGTTGATGCAACCTGCTCAGGAAATGAAAGTAGTCATTAATGAGGAAGAACATCTTGTTCTAGTGCAACATAACATTTCAAGGGTTAGTTTAAGCTTGAAACCTCAATATTCCCACTAAAATGGGAAGCAATGTCATCTACCAAATTTGAGCGGAGAAGGGATTGAGTGCTTTGGCAGGGTTTATGTAGTCTGGACTATCTGCTTATTTACTCATTCATCTACTCATTCCACAGATGGATGGACCACCTACTATTATCTGTGAATTAAAACCCTAAGTATTTTCCCATTTTGTTCACATGGCTTCAGAATTTCATCACATAGGCCCAACTACAGAAACACAGATACGTCCTCGTTCAATTTTAATCTTGTTTGGTTCATTGTCCCAGCATGTTGGAATCTTACTGAATCCCAACTCTGTTATCCAGTATTATCCTTTCCAACTTTGTGTCATCCTCTGAGAATCTATTAAGGGCATGCTCTATGTTTTATTACAAACAATAATATGAATGTAGAGTAGGGTGGTGCTAAGACATGCAGGAGAAGATGTGAAATCTCCCTACTTGTGGATGCAGACTCTGTCAACAAGCTCCTTTTGGCGATGTTCTATCAGCCAGACTGTATCTCTTCACCTTTTCCAATAGAAGATCATGAAAGATCTTGTCAAATACTTTGCTGAAGTACAAGGGCACCACACTCTCTTAATTTCCCTCAGCAAGCTGACAAGTAAATGAATAACTTTGGCAACTAAAATAATATAATTAGCTTGACAATCCTTGGTTTTAGCAAACCTATGCCAAATGGTCATGATGTCTCTTTCCAAGTGCTTATAAACAATCACCTTGACGGACAGTCACTGATTCTTGCCTGGGACAGAGGGCAAGTTCACCACTACACATTTGGGAAATTTCCATCTCTTTTTGTTTCTAAGTTTCTTTCCTTGATTCTATAGAGATCATCTCCTTTGGTCTACAGATCAAATCTGCAAGTTTCCTCAGTAAACTTTTTTTTTTTTTTTTAAATCATACTTTTAGATAAAATCTGCTAAGAGTTGCATGAGACAGTAGTGATACTTTAGACTATGTAATAATGTAGGGTGTGGAGTAGACAGCAATAGAGGCCTCTGGAGACTAACTGATGAGGAGTGTGCAGGTTGTTGTCTAGGTACATGAAAGTGGTTAGGAATGGTAACAACAGACAGCGAGTTCTGAAAAATCAACTTCTTAATGATTGTTCTTGTCTCTGCTTCCCTCCTCCCCAATTCATATTGCACATCTCTTCCATCATTGCCTTCAGTCGGCCAGAGTGTAAGCTCTAATAGTAATCAAGATGGGACTCACCCACTTGCTCAAGCCTGGATAGTCATGCTCCGGATCAAAAAGGTGCTGGTGCAACTGGAATTCTCGACTGAACTCAGCAGTGTCAGGGCTGTTTTCTAGACATCCATCATCATCTACTGCAAACAGTCAAAGGTTTGTGAGGAATGGCCAGGGCAGTTATCTTTATTATGAGTTAACTTCTTTAAAGCAACTAGATACTCAAAGGTCAGAATCGATTCACATCAGCTGCATAACCCCCTTTCTCTTAGGGAGCTGATGGATGAGACTGCTCATCCCAATCTCCCACTCCTCCTCTTACCTATGGCAGATATGGCTGGATATTTACCAAACCCACTTCCTTTTCCTCCTTAACACACAGTTAGACTAATTTCCCAGCCTTGCTTTGCAATGTGATGGTGTCATATGTCTGAGTTTGGGCCAGCAGAATGTAGTCAGAAGCAATGCATTTAACTTCCAGGTTTGGCCTATATAAACTTCCCTGTGGTCCTCTACTGCCCATCCTCCGGCCCCATCTGCTGGTTGCTTACTCAATATTGTTGACCACAGCAATGGTGGAAGCAATTGGGAAGATGACCTGAACCTTCCACCCTCACCTTACCCATGTCTAGCAGGATTCCAGACAAGTGAGAACTAAAATTCTCCTGTGTTAAGCCACCAAACTAATATAATTCCATCCTGCATGTCTCATTGTCTTCTCTTGGGTTTTATGCGCTCTTTAGAAACAATCCCAATTTCTCAGAGAAAGTACATTATACAACAAGTACAATTATAATCATTAGGCAGTAACTGGCTTTGTGTATTATAGAGGTAACAAACTAAACTTTGAAGTTGCACAAACCAGAGCTCAAGGTTCAAATCCCACCTCACATGTAATACATAGGGAAAGTTAATTTAGCTGCTCCACATCCATTTATTCACATGAAGTGGAAATAATAAAATACTTTACAGGGTTGCTGAGGGGCTTAGATAGTATCAGATACAGAGGACCTGGCATGTGTTGTTGTTGGTAGGTGTCGTAGAGTCAACTCTAACTCATAGCGTAGTGGTTACGAATCAAGCTGCGAACTGCAAGGTTAGCAGTTCGAAACTACCAGCTGCTCCACAGGAGAAAGATGAGACTTTCTGCTCCCGTAAAGATTTATAGCCTCGGAAACCCTGTTCAGGGTGGTTATGAGTCGGAACCAACTCCACAGCACATAACAACAACATACACAGCAGAACCAAACACTGCCCAGCCCCACACCATCCTCACTATTGTTGCTATCCTTGAGCCAACTGCTGCTGCTACTATGCCATTCTATCTTACTGGGAGCACGAGGGGGTCTTCCTCTTTGTCGATGACCCTCTACTTTATCAAGCATGATGTCCTTCTCCAGGGACAGGTCCCTCCTGATAACATGTCTGGAATATGACAGGCAAAGTCATACCATCTTGCCTTCTAAGGAACATTCTGACTGTACTTCTTCCAATTCAGATTTGTTTGTTTTTTTCTTCTGGCAGTCCATGGCACCTTAAATATTCTTCTCCAACACTGTAACTCAAGAATGTATCAGTTTTTCTATGATCTTCCTTATTCGCTGTCCAATTTTCACATGCATATGACACTACTGAAAATAACTTGGGTCAGATGCACCTTGGTTCTCAAATGGACATCTTTGCTCTTGAACGTTTAAAGAGGTCTTATGCAAGCAGATTTGCCTAATGTAATATGTAGTTTGATTTCTTGATTGCTACTTCCATGAGTATTGACTGTGGGTCCAAGCAAAAGAAGTCTTTTACAATTTCAATCTTTTCTCCATTTACTATGATGTTATTTATTGGTTGAGGTGTGAGGTTTTATATATATATATATGGTGCAAGCCATACTGAATGGTGTATCCTTTGATTTTATCAGTGAGTATTTTAAGTGCTCTTTGCTTCCAGCAAACAAGGTTGTATCATGTGTATATCACAAGTTGTTAATGAGTCTTCCTCCAAACCTGATGCCATTCTTCTTCATATAATCCAGCTTCTTGGATCATTTGCTCAGCATACATATTGAGTAAGTATGGTGAAAGAATACAACCCTGTCACACACCTTTCATGATTTTAAACCATTCAGTGTCTTCTTGTTCTGTTCTAATGACTGCCTCTTGGTCTATGTATAGGTTACTCATGAGCACAGTTAAGTATTCTGGAATACCCATTCTTCCCAATGTAATCCATAGCTAGTCACGATTCACAAAGTTGAAAGCCTTTGCATAGTCTATAAAGCACAAACATCTTTCTGGTATTCTCTTCTTTCAGCCTAGATGCTTCTGACGCTAGCAATGATATCCCTCATTGAAGGTCCTCTTCTGAATCCAGTCTGAATTTCAGGCAGCTCCCCTAAGGATGCACTGCTGCAGCCATTTTAAAATGATCTTCAACAAAATTTTACTTGCATATGTTATTAGTTATATTGTTCCATGATTCCTGCATTCTGTTGTATCACCTCTCGAAGAAATGGGCACCAGTGCTCGGCTCGCCAAGTAACTGTCTTCCAAATTTCTTGGCATGGGTGAATAAGTACTTCAGTGCCTCATCAGCTCATTGAAAGATTTCAATTTTTATTTCATCAATTCATGGAGCCTTGTTCCTCACCAATGCCTTCAGTGCAGCTTAGATTTCTTCCTTCAGTACCTTCGGTTCTTGATCATATGCTAGCTCTTGAAATGCTTGAACCATTTGTTTTTGGAACAGTAATTCCATATAGCTTCCATCTCCTTTTGATGCATTCAGCATTGTTCAATATTTTGCCCAAAGAATTCTTCAATATTGCACATCAAGGCTTTATTTTTTTTCTTTAGTTCTTTCAGCTTTAGATATGCTGAGATGGTTCCTCCCTATTGGTTTTCTAACTCTAGGTCTTTGCACATTTCATTATACCTTGTCATGTCTTCTTGAGCTGCCTTAGAAATATTCAGTTCAGTTCTCCTACATCCTCATTTCTTTCATTTGCTTTAGCATCTCTACAATGGAGAGTGAATTTCAGAGTCTCTCTGATATCCATTTTGGTATTTTCTTACTTTCCTGTCTTTTTAATGACCTTTTGAGTTCTTCCTGTATGATGTTCTTCATGTCATCACACAACCCTTCTGGTCTTTAGTCATTAGCATGTAATGCATCAAATTTGTTCTTGAGATGGTCTCTAAGTTCAGGCAGGGTATATTCAAGGTGATATTTTGACTCTTGTGGATTTGTTTTAATTTTCTTCAGATTCAACCTGAGTTTGTTTAAGAGCCATTGATGGTCTGTTCCAGTCAGCCCTAGCCTTGTTTTTTACTGATGATATTTTCACCGTCTCCACAGCTGTAGTTAGTTTGTTTCATGTGTATTCCATCTTGTGAGGTCCAAGTGTGTTGTTGTTGTTGTTAGGTGCCATCGAATCGGTACTGACCCATAGCGACCCTATGCACAGCAGAACGAAATACTGCCTGATCCTGGGCCAACCTCACTACTGTTGCTACACTTGAGTCCATCGATGCTGCCATTTGGCCAATCCATCTCATTGGGGGCCTTCCTCTTCTTCTCTGACCCTCCACCTTACCAAACATGGTATCCTTCTCCAGAGACTGGTCCCTCCTCACAATATGTCTGAAGTATGAGAGGCAAAGTTTGGCCATCTTGGCCTCCAAGGAACACTCTGGCTGCACTTCTTCTAAAATGGATCTATTAGTTCTTTTGGCAGCCCATGGCACTTTCAATATTTTCCTCCAACACCATAACTCAAAGACATCAATTCTTCTATGGTCTTCCTTATTCACCGTCCAGCTTTCACACGCATATGAGGTGAGGCACACCTTAGTCCTCAAGCTGACATCTTTGCTCTTCAGCACTTTAAAAAGTTCTTGTGCAGCAAATTTGCCTAATGCAATGCGTCGTTTGATTTCTTGACTACTGCTTCCATGAGTGTTGATTGATATCCATGTGTGTAGACATCTTTTATGTTGTATGAAAAAGATCTTTGCAATGAATAAGTCATTGGTATTGCAAAATTGTACCATGCGATCTCCAGCATCATTTCTATCACCAAGGCCATAGTTTTTCAGCTACTTACTCTTCATCTTTGTTTCCAAATTTCATATTCCAATCACCAGTAATTATCAATACATTTTTATTATATGTTTCATCCATTTCAGAAGTTGGTGGTCATGGTGGTTATGTGCCATGGAGTTGGTTCCGACTCATAGCGACCCTGTACAGGGTTCCCAAGGCTGTAGTCTTTAAGGGAGCAGAAAGCCTCATCTTTCTCCCATGGAACAGCTGGTAGTTTCGAACTGCTGACCTTGAGGTTAGCAGTCTGATTCGTAACCACTACACTACCGGAGCTCGTTTCATCACCACTGGCTTTAGTGGTTGGTGTGTAAAATTGAATAATAGTGGTATTAACTGTTCTTCCTTCTAGGCATATGGATACTATCCTATCACAGACAGCACTGTACTTCAAGATGGATCTTGAAATGTTCTTTTTGACAATGAACGTGATGTCATTTCTCTTATGTTTTTTGTTCCTGGCATAGCATGCTATGTGATTGCCAGATTCAGGCTAGTAATAGTCCATTTCAGTTCACTAAAGCCTAGAATCTTTATGCATTTCATTTCATTTTTGACAACTTTCAATTTTCCTAGATTCATAATTTGTACATTCCATGTTGTGATTCTTGACGGATGTTTTCAGTTGCACTTTGAATTGTGCTTCATCAGTAAATTAAGGTCCTGAAAGCTTTACTCCATTCATGTCATCAAGGTCAACTCTACTTTGAAGAGGTAGCTCTTCCCCAGTTGTATTTTGAGTGTCTTTCCACCGGAGGGGCTCATCTTCTGGCACTATAGCTGACACTCTGCTGCTGCTGTTCATAAGGTTTTAAGTGGTTAATCATACAGAATCCATCTGCCTCTCCTTCTTCCTAGTCTGTCTTAGTCTAGAAGTTCAGCTGAAACTTGTCCACCATGGGTGATCTTGTTGTTTGTAAATACTGGTGACATAGATTCCAGCATCACAGCAACATGCAAGCCACCACTTATGACAAACTACACACAACTGACAGACCTGACATGTCATAAGGTTATATAGTATGTTGTACTTTATTTTCTACCATCTCCCTTTAAATGCCACTTTTTATTAAAACTGCTCTTTGAGATACCCTCCACTGAAACCCAAGAAAGGAGTTTATCCCTCTTGGCTGCTACTTTTTCCTAAGCCCTATTTTACAAGGTGTAAAGCTCTGGTAGCGTAGTGGTTACGAATCAGGCTGCTAACCTCAGGGTCAGCAGTTCAAAACTACCAGCTGTTCCACGGGAGAAAGAGCAGGCTTTCTGCTCCCGTAAAAATTTACAGCCTCGGAAACCCTGTACAGGGTCACTATAAGTCGGAAATGACTCCACAGCACATAACAACAACAACAAGAAGGCTCTGAAGATGAGTCATTTTCTCCATCTCTGATGTGCTTTGTTGTTGTTGTGTGCTGTTGAGTCTATTCTAACTAATGGTGATCTTACAGAACAAAGCAGAATTGTCCTCTAGAGTTTCCTAGGTGGTAATCTTTATGGAAGCAGACCATCACATCTTTCTCCTTATAGAGCAGCTAGTGGGCTCGAACTGCCAACCTTTCAGTGTGCAACTGAGTGTATCCCTACTGTGCTACCAGGGCTCCTTTAAACCAAACCCACCGCCATCAAGTAGATGCTGACTGATAGTGAAGCTATGAGACAGAACAGAACTGCCCCATAGGGTTTCCAATGTTGTAAATGGGCCTTACTGTTGCAGTTAAGTGCCGTTGAGTTAGTTCTGACTCAAGAGATCCTGTATAGGGTTACCAAGGAGTGATTTATAGGTTCGAACCACCAACTTTGTGGCTGGCAGCTCAGTGCTTATCCTACACCGCCACACCAGGACAAAAGTGGATGGGGGAGTTTGAATTTCATGCAGTGTTGTTGTTGTTGTTGTTATGTGCCGTCAAGTTGGTTCCAATTCATAGCAACCCTGTATAGGGTTCTCAAGAAGTGACTGGTGGGTTTGAACCTGGTGGTTAGCAGTCCAGTGCTTATTTTGCAGTACTACACAGACTCCCATGCAGGAGTATGGGGAGGAAATAGGGTCCCTTTTCAAAACAAATACGAGGGGCTTAAAATTTTTCTTTAAAAATCCCCATATTTAAAATACTAAAAGTAATAAAAATTAAAAGTAATTCCGTCTTTACTTGAACTTTTTGAAGACCCCCTCATGCCAAAAAGGGTCTACTTACAATTCGTCAGACAAACTAGTCTCTTTGAGATTGTTTGAAGTCTTCCAGAAGCACCTTTAAATATCCAGTTGCTCAGCTCTTACCAGTACGAAGCTAGTGTGGAAGTCATTAGCATTTTGAACAAATCCCTAATGTGTCTTTAATATGTCTCCCCACTTTCATTGAGCTTTTTATCTAGGTTCTTCATCTATAGCAATTAACATGTAGGAAAGGAAAACCAAATAGAGAAAGCTCAGGGACAGTCTGCATTACATATGGCAGCTTTACAATAGTTGCATAATTGCTTCTTAAGTGCCTTTGAGTGGGTCCAGACAGAGATTTCGAGATAGAGCCCTACTCTAGGAACCCAAGTTATCTTGTGTCTGAATGTGTACCCTGGAATTCATGTCCTTTTCTGAAGCTAAGAGATGGAATCTTTGAGCCCCGTTGCTCTATCCAAAGTGAATGTGCCACAGTTCCAAGGGGACCATGCCATGGGACATGAAAGTCAATGTTTTATTTTTGGATTGCTCAACAGTGGCATGAGACATGTCTCAAGTAATTGCTTACAAGTTTACTAAATTTAGCTAGCAAACTCCATTTTATAATGAAAATTGTGGTAGAGCAAAGACTGAGAAATATGTTCGCTTCATTGAAGGGTACCAAAGGAAATGGCAGATAATATGTCAGAAGGCAAGATCTGAGGGTTGGTATATTATCAGCCCACCTCGATTAATCTCCCCTAGCACTCCTCACAGGCATAACAAGCATTGCATGATCACATGGTGTTCTGCTTGAAATTTGTTTTTCAGGATAAGCTATGTGGTGCATTTCTTTAAGACATTTTATAGATTAAGGAGGCCCAGGAAATAAAAACACACTGTATTTAATGATCAGCATCCTGATCTCTTGGCGTAAACTCTGGCTCTCTTTCCATTCTACTATAGCAGTGGTTCTGAAACTTCAGCACATATCAGAATCATGTGGCGGGCTTGTTAAAAGGAACTGCTGGCCCTCACCTCCAGACTTTCTGATTCAGTAAGTCTTGAGTACCATTACTAGGAGCAGTTAACCTCAAGCAGACTCTGACTCATGGGGATGACTCCATGTTGTCCGAGTCGAACTCTGCTCCACTGGGTTTATAATGGCACATTTTCATAAAGTAAATGTCTAGGCCTATTTTCCAAGGTACATCTGGGTGGACTTGAACTTCCAGCCTTTTTATTAGCAGCAGAGCATCCAACTGTTTGTTCCACCTAGGGACAGGTTTGGGGTAGAACCTGAGAATTTGCAGTTCTTAGCAGGTTACCAGGGGATGTCACTGCTGCTGGTTTTGGGACCCCCCACTTCAAGAACCACTGCAGTACACTCTGCCTAATCAATGGAACCAAATCCCCACGGACACTGTTATTCTTTAAGCTCTGACTAGGTCTTTCATTCTATTCATGACAAGTCTATAAGTAAGTCAGTAAAATGTGGCTGATGTGATCGGAGCTTCAGAGTGACCCACATTTCCCTACTATTCCTATCTATACCAGCAGTCCCACTTGGCTTGGCAATATCCAACCACTTTGTTTTGTCCCAAGATGGAAGCTCTTGGACTTGTGGAAAATGGAGGGCTTTCCCTCTTTTTATTGAAAAAGTAGCAAGTACAAAATAAAAACATTCGTTCCAAAAGATGGAGAGAAATGGAAGGTAAAACCTCAGCAACTTCTACATGGGTTTATTTGAATACCATCATTCACACAAGGATTCTGGAATAAATTTCCCTTTCTTATCCACTTGCAAACAGCAACTCATAGGATAGAAATACTACTTCTTGGAATATTAGCAACTGATGCTGGAATTTCTAATTTCCTCCCAAACCTTCTATCTTACATGGGAACCCAAAGGCTTAGTCATTACCTGTTTTTCCAACAGGACAAGGATTTGGAGGATCTGGGTAGCCCTGATCCTCACTAAAGTCCTTAGGAATGTTGTCACCAGTCAACTCTGCCACAATGTTGGGAATGTTGCCAAAAGGACCCAAGTGTTGCAAACCTTCATGAGCTCCACCTGCCACAAAATCAAAAGTAGTTCATTTCAGTTAAATTCATTTCGGTAAATATTTATTCAGGCACACATATGGCAAAGCACCCACCTGTATACTGTGGAGGCAAAAATGAATGGAAAAGTCTCTGTCCTGTAGGGATTAACAGATTTAGTTGTGGATGGAGACAGACACATACAGTACTTATATCATTTCCACACAAGGCAAAATTGTGTACATGCTGTAATAGACTTGCTAATAATGTATTGTAGGAGTATAGTAATAGGAGAGTTTCAGCTGGCTGACAGGATGAAGAAAATTTCTTGGATGAACAGGAACTTGAATTGCACCGTCAGAGATGGGTACGCTATGGAAGCTGAACAGAGTTAGAGGTTGGGGATGGAAAAGGAAATAACTGTCATTCAGACACAAGAATAGGCTGAAACAAAACTTAACAAACAAAAGTAGATAAAGAAAAGAATTCACCTATTCACCTATCAACTTGCCGTTCTAGCTCAACGAGTTAAAATTTGGTATATTTCCTTCTTGTCTTTCTTCTTGACGTATCTTTTTATTCATAAATTTTTATTCTTTTTTTCATGTATAACTAAAGCAGTAGTATTTCTCCAGATGGCTGCATGTTCTTTATTTCCATCATTATAAATGACTACGTCGTTTTTTTAACCCAGTGGTTTTTCTTTCTTTTTTTTTTTTTTAATCCATGACGTATTAACCATTCCTCTGTTGTGTGACATTTAGTGTTTCCTAATTTACTCTGAGGCATTTAATTTTTTCCATATTTTGAATTAGTTTGTCTCAGGATAAATTCCCAGAAGCCAAATTAGTGGGTCAAATGCTGTAAACATTTTATGGCTCTTTATATTTTATCACCAACCTTTTCCAAAAAGATTGCATCAATTTACAAACTTTCAACAAAAAAATATGTGAATAACACTTTTACAACATCTTCACCAGCACTGGGTTTTGTTAATTTTTTTAAAAAATATTTTATTTTCTAATTTAAAAGGCTTTAAAAATTCATTTTACTTTGAATGTCTTTGATTACCAGCTTGGTCAAATAAATAGGTTCATCCCCTTTTTTTTGTCAGTTGTTTTTCTGCTTTTGGAATGTCACAGTTTCTCCTATCAATTTACAGGCATATTTTACATAATGAAGAGCTCAGGCCTTTAGCTGTCCCATTTTTCTGCAAAAATCTTTCCAGGTTGGCTGACTTTAAATTCTACTTATTAATCTATTTTGATAACCTAAGTTTTTAATATTTATGTAGTCAGATTTACTGTTGCTTTTTGCCTTTCTGATTTCTGCTCCTTTCTTACAAAGTTATTGTCCCTCCGGATATATAATTAATATTTGGATATTTGCTTTAGTTTTTCTTTTTTAGATGAACTCTTTACACCATACGCTATTTGTTTTTCTGTTGTTGCTAAGTGGAGTAGACAACAATGAAATGTGGCCAGTCCTGTGCCGTTCACACAATCACCGCCATGTTCCTATCCATTGTTCAAATATCATGGAATCCATCTTGGTGAGGGCCTCCCTTGCCCTCACTGGCACTCTCTTATGCTAAACATGATGTTCTCTAGTGAATGAGTTCTCCTGGTGCATGCAAGTTGGACAACATTTTGTTGTCACCCATAAGGTTTTTCACTGTCTAATTTTCCAAAGTAGATCTCTAGGCATTTCTTAGTCTGCCTTAGTCTGGAAGTTCAACTGAAGTCTGTCCACCATGGGTGATCTTACTGGTATTTGAAATACTGTTGGCATCGCTTCCAGTTTCACAGCAATCCTCAAGCTGCCAGAGCATAACAAACTAACAGACGGGTGGTGAATATTTTAGTGTATAAAAGAGTTAACCAATTATCCAGCTGGCATTTATTAAATAATTCTGTCCTTCTTCACTTACCTCATTCCTTCAACAAATATCTAAGTCACTCATGCTTACCAAACACTTCTCTGAGCACCAAGGTGCACAGTGAATAAGAACAATCTACATTGTGTAACTTCCTTTACCTGTACAATATACAAAGGTATGCCAACTTTGGGACTCTTTCTTCTCTTATAGCAGCACAAATCTAAAGCTTAGGAACTTTACTTTTCCAGCACACGAGTGAACCATTTCTTGGAACGTATTCATATTCACCAACTGTTTTGAGACCCTGAGGCTCCACCCTCACATCATCATGAAAAGTACAGGCACCTTGTATTCGGACCAAAACATAAGAGGCCAGATCAAAATGAAAACATTGTTGTTGTTAGATGCTGTTGAGTCAGTTCTGACTCATCGACCCTATGAGTAACAGAATGAAAAGATGCCCTCCTCATGATCATTCCTATACCTGAACCCATTGTTGCAGTCAGTCTGTCAATTCAGCTCATTGAGGTTCTTTTTTGCTGACCCTCTAGTTTACCAACTGGTCTCTTCTGATAACACATCCACAGTATGTGAGTCAAACACTCACCATCCTAGCTTCAAAGTTGCATTCTGGCTGTACTTCTTGCAACACAGATTTGTTAGTTCTTCTGGCAATCCATGGTATATTTAATAGTTTTTACTAGCACCATAACTGAAAGACATCAATTTTTCTTCAGTCTTCCTTATTCATCATCCAGCTGTTGCATGTGTATGAGACTATTGAAAAGACCATGAAAACATGCCTTGGGTGCATATGAAATCAAAACCAAATCAGGTTAAAATGACTCCATACTTCCATCTCCATGAGAGGGATCATCTTGTAAGTGTTGTTGTGCACCACTGAATCTATATCTGACTCACAGTAACTCCATGTGATAGAGTAAGACTACTCCACAGGCTTTTCCAGGCTGTCATCTAGATGCTGAGCTGCCAGGTGGGTCAAACTGCCAAGGTTTGGGTTAGCAGCTGAACGCTTAACTACGACACAACCAAGGAGTCCTTGATCTTGCAAATTGGGTCACAGTAAGTGTAGCTGGATGAGACTCTTTGGGATGATACCTGATGGGCACTGCCAACGTGTGCCTCTGACACATTTGTTTTTAGATGTTTGTTTGTTTATGTGGCTAAACCAAGTCCTCCTTTTGGTTTTCTTTTTCTTTCTTTCTTTCTTTCTTTCTTTAATCCTGTTGTTACGTTGTTGTTAAGTGCTGTCAAGTTGGTTTCAACTCATAGTGACCCTGTATATGGTTTTCAAGGAGCAGCTGGTGGGTTTTAACTGCCTGCCGACCTGTTGTTCGAAGTCCAATGCTTATTCCACAGTGTCATACCAGGGCTACACTTACTATGTTGTTGTTGTTGTTAAGTGCTGTCGAGTTAGTTCTGACTCAAAGAGAGCCTGTGCAGGATTTCCTAAGAAAGCCTGGTGAGTTTGAACTGCCAACCTTGTGGTTCAAACCGACCTTGTGGTCCAGGACGCCTACTTTTACTATTTGTTGTTGTTGTTAAATGCCATCGAGTTGGTTCCTACTCATAGCAACTCTGTATAGGGTTTCCAAGGAGTGGCAGGTGAGTTTGAACTGCTGACCTTGTGGTTCAAACCAACCTTTCAGTGTAGTGCTTTATCCCACAGCACCACACCAAGCACAGTGTCAATATATTTAGCAGGATGTGGCTTGCTCTTAGTGTCCTAGGAAATATACAAATATTAGTGTCTGGGAAACAACCGAGGGGGCATCAAAAAGTTTGTGGAAAAAAATGGAATTAAAATACAATGGAATTTTTCCACAACTTTTTTGAAGTCTTCGTATTATCTCTGTAGGGTGACTTTCTATCACATTGCCTTAACTAAATTGTGTTTGATGAAAGTTTAATCTTAAAAAGAACTTGGTTGTTTTTATTAGTTGCCGTCAAGACAGTTTGGACTCAGGGTTTCTGAGGAGCAGCTGGTGGTTTTGAACTACTGACCTTGTGGTTCGCAGTCCAGTGCTGATCCTACAGCACCATGTCAGGAGTCTGAAAAGAACTTTATGTCTTTTCGTTCCAAATTTCTCTAGCACCCAAATATAGACACTACCAAGTGGCTGGGTTGTTTTGTTTTGTTTGTATTTATGTTACATTGTATTGTTTTGTAATGAAAGGATAGACTGCAAAATGTCTGCATTTTAAAAATGGTATTTCATTTATGATCTGCCATCTGATTATTTTTGTAAAACGTGTTTTTACATAGCCCATAAACTTCTAAATATAGCTACTTAGTCAACATTGTTTATTTTCCTTTAGTCCGCATTCATATTTTATGCATTTGAAGTATAAATGTATGATGGCTATATGTTAAAATCTATTTTTAAAAAAATCCATTTCCATCAAGTCAATTCCAACTCAGAGGGATGCTATCAGACAAAGTAGAATTATCTTACAGGGTTTCCAGGGCTGAAATCTTTTCAAAAGCAGACTGCCATATATTTCTTCCTTGAAGCAACTAGTCGGTTTGACCTGCCAACCTTTTGGTTAGCAGGCATGCACTTAATTGCTACACCAATAGGCCTCCCTTAAAATCTACTACTACTAATAAATGCCTGTTAAATCTCAAACTTGTTTTTTGCTTTACTATTTGCTATGCTGTGCTATAAGCTATGGTATTTGGCATGCCCAAAGGTATAATTTTTTTTTCATTTTAAATGTATTGTTAATTGACTGTTAAGTAAAAAAATTAATTGACCAATCACATTTTGATTTCTACATCTTGCATTTCTTTGATTGGTGTCTGATTGGCAAACATCTGATCATCCTTTCACTTTTTTGCATATTTCTGATGCTTTGTCCAATTTATCTTGTGGTGGTTGCTTCCAAAGATATTTTGGGGAGTCTTATTTACTATCCCAAGGAGCTCTGGTAGTGTAGTGGTTACACTACACCCGTAGTGGTTACGGGTCAGGCTGCGAACCTCAAAGTCAGCAGTTCGAAACTACCAGCTGTTCCACAAGAGAAAGGTGAGGCTTTCTGCTCCGGTAGAGATTTATAATCTCAGAAACCCTTTGCAGGGTCGCTATGAGTCGGTTCCATGGCACATAACCACCACCACCACCATTAGC